AAGACCCTAAGGGAGGCCGAGCTCAGGTACTCTCCTGTGGAAAAGACGGTGTTAGCCATCGTTTGGACCGTCAAGAAGTTGGGCCACTACTTTCAGGCTCACCCGGTTCAGGTCCTCACTCATCAACCCCTCGGCGCCCTCATGAGGAGCCCCACCAGCTCCTCCCGCATGGTGAAATGGGCTATCTTCTTGAGCCAGTACAACATTGACATCCGTCCGAGGCCTGCCATCAAGGGCCAAGCCCTGGCGGAATTTGTGACGGAGTGTACCGCAAGGGCAGCCACGGACGGGGAGCCCTCGGCTACCTCGGACGACTGGTGGACCCTCTACACCGACGGCTCCTCCGCAACCAAAGCATGCGGGGGAGGGGTAGTCCTCATTACTCCCGAGGGTTTCAAAGCCTACTATTGTAACACCCCAGGGCCCCACACGGACCCGAGGTAGTTACTCTAAACCTCTAGTACTGTCCCCACAAACCACCACGAGCCTTTACCGCACACTTTGTCCTCACTCATGCGCGCCCTGAGAAACTTCCCAGGGGGTCACCCATCCCAAGACTACTCCCGTGCAAGCACGCTTAACTTTGGAGTTCTTGGGTGATGAGCTCCATTAAATGGAGATGCACCTCTGTTGGTATGAGTAGTACTATTAATCCTCTTAAATTAATCTCGGGTATTACAACTATGCAATCCGCTTCTCCTTCAAAGTCTCCAACAACGAGGCCGAGTATGAGGCCCTCCTATGTGGCCTTCGGCTGGCTGCCAACATGAAGGCTCGGCAGATCCATATCAAATGCGACTCCAAGTTAGTCGTTGGCCAAATCTCCGAGGAGTATGAGGCCAAGGAGGGAAGAATGAAACAGTACAAGGAGGCGGCCAAGGAGTTGCTTAAGGTATTTGAGGCACACTCTCTCACTCAAATACCGAGGGCTCAGAACTCTGAAGCCGACATACTATCTAAGCTCTCGGCCGACTCCCCCGAGCACATCTCCAAGATTGCTAAAATTGAGGAACTTAGTCTCTCAAGTATTCATGCAAGCCCCGTCATGAACATACAACAACGCCAAGAGGACTGGATCTCAGATATCATCACCTTCATCTCCACAGGGCAGCTACCCGAGAATGAGACCCGCGCTAAACTAGAAAAGCTGAGGGATCCTAGCTACACCATCGAAGACGGAAGGCTCTACAAACGGTCTTACAACGGCACGCTACTTCGGTGCCTTCATCAAGATGAAGCCGAGGTCGCAATGGAGGAAGTGCACAGTGGCACTTGCTCAGCTCACCAGGGGCCCTTCTCCATGTCCCGAAGGCTCATTCTCCAGGGCTACTTCTGGCCAACCATGGCCAGAGATTGTGCTGACCTTGCCCGAAGGTGCACCGCATGCCAACATTTCCAGAAAGCCCCCGGCAGGCCAGCGGTCAACTATGACCCCATCAGCACATCCGTCCCCTTTTCTCGATGGGGGATAGACCTTGTGGACCCTCTGCCGAGGGGTACCTCCAACAACAGGTACATCATTGTGGCCATCGACTACTTTACCAAGTGGGTGGAGGCTGAGCCCCTCGCCAGCATCACAGAGGCGAAGTGCCGTCACTTCGTCCTCAAGAACATCCTCACAAGGTTTGGCGTCCCCCAGCAGATCATCTCCGACAACGGAACACAATTTGAGGCAGCCCCCTTCTGTTCCCTTCTGGAGGCGTGGGGCATCAAACACACCTTCTCCTCCGTTGCATACCCTCAAGGCAACGGGCAAGTAGAGAACGCCAACCGGACCTTGCTCGAGGGCCTCAAAAAGAAGCTGGAGGCCGAGGGCGGTGGCTGGGTAGAAGAACTCCACAACATCCTTTGGGCCTACCGCACCACCCCTCGGCGAGCAACAGGTGAAACACCCTTCTCCCTCTGCTACGGGTTTGAAGCCAAAGCTCCTACGGAAGTCACCCTTCCTACCTGGAGGGTGATCCAATATGACCCCGAGGTCAACGACAGCAACATGGCCCTCGACCTCCACCTCCTTTCAGAATGCGGGGAGCAGGCCTTCATCCGGGCAGAGAACTACCGAAGGCAAGTCAAAAGCTACATCGACGCCAAGGTTCGCACCAGAGAATTCCAAGTGGGGGACTATGTCCTCCGGAGGAGGGAAGCCAGCCAACCGACCGAGGGAGGCAAAATGGCACCAAAATTCGAAGGTCCCTACATCATAGCAGCCATCATCAAACCCGGGACTTACAAGCTCAAACGCCCCAACGGGAAAGAGGTCCCTAGGCACTGGAATGTACACCACTTAGTTAAATTTTATCAATAATGTAAGAGCGGCCAAGCCCTCCTAACTAGTGAATGTACTATCCTATGGCCCAAGGCCTCCAATTTTGAAGAATGAAGACACATTCAAGACACCAAGAACAACCGCAAAACACTTATGAGCGGCCAAGCCCTCATACCAACTACAGGCCCCAGGCCTCACCATGAGAAGAACCCCCTCCGACACCAAGTGCCGAGGGCGGACACCATCAACACCTTCAACAACAGTGAAAACACCAAGTGTTTCAAACAAGACCCCTCGGTACCAAGTACCGAAGATGGGGACTCCCATCACCGGCAACAGGAAACACCAAGTGTTTCATTTCAAGACCTTTCGGCACCCAGTGCCGGGGGTACACATCTCCACCATCAACATCAAAAAGAAGAACACCAAGTGTTCCTTCAAAAGACCCCTCGGTACCAAGTACCGGGGGTACACATCTCCACCATCAACATCAAAAAGAAGAACACCAAGTGTTCCTACAGAAGACCCCTCGGTACCAAGTACCGGGGGTACACATCTCACCCATCAACGTCAAATAGAAGAAGAACACTAAGTGTTCCTACAGAAGACCCCTCGGTACCAAGTACCGGGGGGCTACATATCGAAACTAACACCAAGTGTTGTTTCTAAAAGTCGTACCCCACGAGGACGCATATACCGAAGGCGCCACCATCGGTGCCGGCGGCACGTAGTGCCCCCGGCCATTTGCAACTAGTGTGCAGATGAAAACCCTTCCTTGAAACGCTTTCTGCGTCACTACCCCCAGGGTATGACAGGCATGAGAAATGCCCAGGATTCGACTTTCAAAAACGGAACGCTTTCCGTGTCATCACCCCAAGGGTATGACAGGCACGAGAAATGCCCAGGATTCGACTTCCAAACCGAAACGCTCCCCGCGCTACCACCCCAAGGGTGTGGCAGGCCACGGACTATGTCTAGCGCCGAGGGGACGACTTTCAAAAATGAGGCGCTTTCCGCGCCATCCCCCAAGGGGAGGCAGGTTATAGACCACCATATCTTGTGCCCAGGAAACGACCCTCGATCCCCTCGGAACTCGGAAGGTTAACCCGAGGGAGGAGAGCCATTGGTGTATTCTGATGGTCTCCTAATAGGCCCAGCCTTACCAAGAAACCAAGTTTCTTGATGCCTTCCCTTCACCACCAACCAAAAAAAAAGGGGGGGGGGGGGGGGGGGGGGTGAAGGGGAGTAGACTCATCGAGAAATCAGTGAGTACGACACTCCAACAAATCACAACATACCGAGGGCTCCCTACGGGAACACCTCCGGTAACTGAAGGCTCCTATTTCCCGAAGGTTACTGCTCAACAATACAAAGGGATGAGACTGTCTCAAGTACACTAAATGGCTAAGTTCACTTGAAATAAGTGCCGAGGGCACCTACCATCGGTCATCCATTGCTACCGAGGGGTCCTATCCTGTAAAAGGGGATGCAACTGACTAAGGCAGCTCAACGACCCTTCAAGTGAATGCCGAGGGCACCTATATCCCACCAGCATTCACTACAACATCAATATCCTACAAATTTTCCTAAGTCCACACTCTTGAAAAAATGACAACAGCCGGAGGCTCACATATCACCCAACGATCGAAGGCATCTATTACAAATCATCAAAGGCCAACCAAGGGGGATTATTCCAAAATAATGTCGCCCTCGGGAAATCTTAAGTGGAAAACACTACGAACCGAAGGCTACACAAGGAAGCAACACTTAGAAATTTTTCTAAGTCCTGAAGATTGAGCCCCCGGCCTGATCAATATTTCAACTGAGGGACCATGATAGCCGAAGGCTACGTGATGCAACAGCACTTAGAAGAATTTCTAAGTCCTACATATTTTTCCCTCGGACAACAACTACTTATACATCAGGGAGAAGGATATCACCCCGGAGGCTTCCGATTGGAAACCACGCTTAGGAATTTTTCTAAGTCCCAAAGATTGGATCCTCAACCTGATCATCAGATAACTAAGGACATGCGGTGGCCGAGGGCTACTCGACACCATGCATTTGGAAGTAAGGCTAAGTCCTAAATATTTGGCCCCCGACCCAATATTCACACATCAGGAAGGAGGCCACCAGCCGAGGGCTTCCAAGGGGAAACTACACTTAGAATTTTTCTAAGTCCTAAGGATTGGGTTCTCAACCTAATCATCACACAGCAATTGAACTACAAAAACCCGAGGGCCCCTTGGTGGGACTACACTTAGAAAAATTATCTAAGTCCTAACTATTGCTAGGCCCTCGGTCACACATCTAGAAAAGGGTGCCCAACTACCGAAGGCTATGACTGTATTGAAACACTTAGAAGAATTCTCTAAGTCCTAAGCACCTCACCTCCGGCCATCGCACGAAGGCTACACGGGACCAGAAGGGAAGATCAGCCGGGGGCCAACAGATGAACAAACACTTAGAAATATTTCTAAGTCCTGAACATTGTGCCCCCGGTAAAACGTTAAAGTAACTAAAGGTTACTAGTAACCGAGGGCTACAAGAAGCACCGCACTTGGAAGAAAATATTCTAAGTCCTAAACATACATTCAAAAAAGGGCGAAGGCATACACTCAAGAGAAAACGACGGCATACATTCGAGAGGAAGTAAACTAAAGAAAGCAAGTCAAATACACAAGGCCCGAGGGCTAACATTCATCAATCATCAAAAAGAAGAATAAATGTGATTGTTACAATGACGGCCGGGGCCGAAAGCATAAGAATGTGACCATTACAAAGTGTGTTCCAATTGCTAAGTACAAAATACAAATCAAACAACATCATTCCCGGGGGCCGCCTCCTCCGATGGCTTCGAAGTGACCTCTGCATCGGCCTCAGGTTCGTCACCCTTGGCTTCCTTCCGGAGCTCGGTGTCCTCCAGGTCTGGCCTCTCGACATCGGAGGGGAGAGGAACACGGATGTCTGGCTGCAGGGGGGGAGCCCGTATGCCGCCGGGTCGAAGTCCTTCGGCTCAATTTTCAAGTGGCGAGCCATCCTCCGGTAGATGAGGGCTTGGGTGAAAAATTCGCCCCCATCATAATATTGTTTGCCCTTTCGGGCCATCCATTCCTCGCCCGGGCCCTCGCACCACTCATCCACTGAGGCCTCCACAACCGAGGACAGCCACTCCTTGTGTCCCTCGGCCTTCCACCCCCCATCCAGGAACCCGAAGATGGCCTCCTCCCGGGCTGTGACGACAGCCTTCGCTCTGACAGCCTCGGCCTCCTCGGCGGCTTTCTTTGCGGACTCCGCAGCAGCCTCCTCAGCTTTGGCTTTCTCCTCCCTAAGCCTTCCGGCCTCCGCTCTCGCAAGCTGGAGGTCCTCTTCAAGCTGGGCCATCAGCTTCGTGGCCTTGGAGTCCTTGAGAATGAGCTCCTTCATCTTTGCGTCTTGCCCAGCTTTATGGAGGCACCATTCCTCCAGCCGTCGGGCCTGCTCTCCGAGGGCAATGCAGGTCTGCAAAAATAAAAGAGTTAGCAGGGCCGAACATGATTTCCTAGTTCGAAGCAAAGAAGAGAAAGATAACTGTCATAGACTTACCGTGAGGGAAGACCGGAGGATCCTGTCCTCGAGGGCTTGGTCATCATCGGCCCCGAGGGCTGCCCTGTCAATATCGAGGGTTATACCTCCCAGAAGCGCCCTCGGGTCAGCTGTGCCGTTCAACACGGCCGTACCAGCCGGGAGGGAGAGTGTAAGGACCTCAAGAGATGGCTCCCGGACACCCCTCGGCACCTTCGCCACCGGCATCTCCTCGTGCACCCCGGAGGCGGGGCAATCATCCACAATCACCACCGGGGGGTCCTTCTTCGTGGTGTCCCCCTTCTTCGATTTCTTGCCAACCGGGGGGGATTCCTTTGCCGTTGCTTTCCTCTTCGCGGCAGCAGCATCGCCCCCGGGCTTCTTGAGAAACGCACCGACGGGCTTTTGGCCGCCCGCGTCCGACCCCTTCGGATCCTTGGCTGGTTTGTTCTTGAATCGGGCAAGGCCTTTGACGTTCATCATACTCACTGGGATACCTGCAAAAATAATATGGGGTTAAAATCGAGGGGTTACTAACAAATGACATAAAGAATAAACAAACAAGCAAATGAACTATGTGCTAAAATATGAAGGTGAGAGTGCCCTCAGCCACTACCTCCGGAGGCTCCCTCAAACACAGGGAACTTCTCATCTGTTTCCCCCAGGAAGCGATACCACCGGAACCCGAGGGTGTAGAGATCTCCCTCTTTGGTGCACTCCTTAATGGTAATATTCTTGTCCCGGCCCTCCGGGATCATGGCCAGAATCCTGCCGTCTTTCTCGAGGGCGGCGCTCCTCCTCTTCTCGTGCCTCCTGAAACGGTCACATCTCCCTCAGGAAGGGGCTCTCGGTCAGCTTCACGTAACACCACCGGTCCTTCCACCCCTTGTTCGAGGAGGGCGCCTCAGTGAAAAGCTTGAACATTGCCACCTGCTGCAAGTTTGCGAAGCCCTCGGCATTCGCATGCCCCCCCCCCAGCACAGATTGAAGCTCTGGAAGAAGAGGTCCAGGCTAGGTGTCACCCCTCGGGACTTGCAGAGCTGGAGGAAGCCGGTAATGTAGGAATGGTTGTTCGGGGTCTGCTGGCAGGGGACCAGACCCACGAAGCGAAAGTACTCCCGGAGGAAAGGGTGCAGGGGGAAGCGGAGCCCCATGGACACCGAGAGAACGTGCACCGCAATACAACCCTCGGGAGCCCGGGATAGGACGTCATCTGGACCCGGTGTCACCATGATGGCCGAGGGGCCCACGTGAAGCTGAGTGACGTAGATGTCCGCCGCATCAACCTTCGACCTTATTTCCAAGGCGGCGGTGTTCAGGTAGGAGTACCCCTCGGGCATATCGAGGGGCTTCCCTTGATCGGCAACGCTGCCTTTCTTCTTGGGAGCAGCTACCTTGGCCTTCTTTTTCCTGGGGGCCACCCGGATGGGAACCGCGTTCAGCGGCCGAGAGGTGCTGGCCTCACCGGCACCCCGGGGGGAGCATAGCCACGGTCACCCTCGTCCTCTCCTATGCTTCCTCCTCCTCTGCAACCTGCATGGCGAGGGCCAGCTCTTCATCTTCCACCTCCTGCTCGAAGCCCTCGGCTTCAACTTTAGCCAACAGCTCCTACTGCACTTCTACCGCCATCGCAACATCCTCCTGGGCCGAGGACTGTTCGTTTGAGGACTCCGCATCCGAGAGGACTTCATCCTCCATCGAGGGCGCCCCCGAGATATCTTGAGAATCACTCTGGGACGACATTCTGGCTCTGGTTCGAAGGCTCGTAGACGCTAGTGTTTTCTAAAAACTCTATCTCCTAGCCTAAGGGCACAAGACAGCTAACTAGAGAGGTGAAGTGCGAGTGGAGAACTGACCTGGGAATAAGAGTTTGATCGAGGGCTGCTTTTTCTCTCTCTAGGAAAAATTCGGCAGAGCTTCGCTAACAAGGTTTCGCACAATGAGGAGTGCCCAGCCTTGGGGTATTTATAGGCGCTGGAATCCGGGCTTGGGCCTGGAAACCGGGCCTCCGGATGGACCGTCATCATTACACGCCGTGTCTTCGCCCAACCGGTGACGCCGCCCACGGACAGCCAACAATCACGCACCACGTGTCCCCCCCCAACGGCTATATCCTGACGTTACATATTCCAACGGCTATATTTCCAACGGCTATATTCTGGGAGCCCCGGGGTTTTTTGACTTCACTCCACTTCATCAAGGAGAGCCTCCGGGTACACTTACCCAGAGACGCCCCCGGGTTGTGCCCCACACAGTACATAACAGACGCCTTCGGGATCACTCCTTCAGAAGCCCAAGGCTTCATATCAGGCCACCCCTCGGGGATACCCCCTCAGACACTGTAAGGGCCGGGTAGCCCCCGGGGAGTATGCCTCATTGACGGATAGCCTACGGCACACAGGTAATGGGAGCCCTCGGATATCCTCGTCACCAACTAATCAACAAGCAGGGGACACCCCGGTAACAGTTCAACTACTGCCCTCATCCATCACGCCCTCGATCCCCAGATCGAGTGGCTCTCCTTCAGCACCTCCCAGGACATCAACAGCAAGCCTCCGGCTACTCAACACACGAGCCCTCAGAACAAGGAGAGCCTTCGGCATTACCATTATTCTCCATTTTTGACCAAGGTTTCACATTTTCGATTCATCGTTGGGGGAATTCGGTGCACTCTTTTTCCCTCATTAGGATTTTTTCCCCCAGGGTTTTTCCTAATGAGGTTTTTAACGAGGCATCCCCCCAAAATGAAACGAAAAGCGTCAGCCTTCGGCCCACAACAGCAGCGCAACCACTCTACTCCTTTTCACTACTTTACAAGTGCCTCAAGGAGTGGGCGACTGGAGGACCCCCTCGGGAAAATCATTAAATTACAAAATGGTGTAAAATTCCAACAAACGGCAAAGCAATCCCTCAAGTCCCGACATGTGGGTAATTGAGGGACTGCCTTCGGTAGGGACATGAAAGCAACGACTCCTCACCAACTTCAGAGATTACAACGGGACAACATCAAAGGGCAAGCACAAATTACTCCTTTTCCCTCAAGTACCTTTTGGCAAAAGGAGTGAGGGACTCCTGATGGAGTATATGGCCCGGGAACCCCCGGCCCACACACTCCTACTACACCAATAAAGGCCCAACCGGCCCAGGAAGCACAGCAGGCCCCAAATTACGGCACCCCAAGCACTTAGCAGCCCACAGCGCACACTGGGGAGCCTTCGGCTCCCTGACCGAAGGCTCAAAACTCTCACAGAACGGGTTTTCAAGCAAACTAAGAAACTGGGAGAAAAACGGCAGAAAACAGTAGCCCTCGGCGCCTGGAGCCCTCGACGCCTGGAGCCCTCGGCACCCAGGGGGTCCCCGGCACTCAGAGCCCTCGGCTAGTCCTCTGCAGCCGAGGGCACCTCTCCCGACATAATATCCGCACCACATGCGTACAGATCGCCGTACCCTGTACAACGTCCCATCCAACAGCCGCATTAAATGCGGCCACATGCGGCTGCCAGCGCCAACCAGTTGAAGTGACCTCTCGGCCAATGGACGCTTGACACGTGTCCCTGTCCGGCATTTATTGCTACTATAAATAGCACCCCCATTTCCCCATTTGTAAACACGCTGAAAACGCTCCACACTTTATAATATACTTTCTCTCTCTATATTTACTTGCTCTGACTTCTCTTATTACTCCCCGTAATAACCCATCGGATAAACTACCCCCCGGGTACACTATCCATCAAGAACCTTTGAGAGATCCTTACACCTTAAGGCCCAAGAAACCTGCCCAAACTCCAAGTCTTAATGATTAGTTTCCTATTCTGGAATGTTTGTGGGATCGGGAATACCCAATCTTCTGACCAGTTAAACCTTCTTTGAAAAAACAATAAAGTCAATTTTCTGGCTCTCATTGAGCCTAAGATTGATAATAGCAATTTGAACAATAAAATGATGAATTTTGGTTTTGATAATGCATACCCTCACTCTATTAACAAAATTTGGATTTTTTGGCAAAATGATCAATCTCTCTATTACTTTAAATAGCATGATCTCCCATATCTATGTTTCTGTTATCTATGGTGGCAATGACAGAGCTACTAGAAGAGCTCTTTGGACTGATCTTACCAATTTCAGGGATGGAATTCAGGATAAACTCTGGCTACTTGGGGGTGATTTCAATGTGATCTCCAACATGCTGGAATACAAAGGCAAGAGTACGCCCTGTAAGTCAGATATGGGTGATTTTAATGCCTTCATTTATGCCAATAGTTTGACTGAGTTTAATTATAACACTCCAAAAAAATTTAAATAAATAAATAAATAAATAAATAAATACAGATACTTTTGTTAACCAAATAAAAAGTTACAAGTGACATTTTTAAACAGATAAAACTTTGACAACAAAAAAATGATGTTTTTGTTACGATAAATTTTGACTTCGTGGAAGTGACATTTTTCTTAGTAAATGATAATTACTACGTGAAATTTGGAGTTATTAAAGCGACATTTTAATTTTAGAAGCGTCGGTTAGTACAAATGTGTAAAATTTACTCAAAAAGGCAAAAGTTGACTTTCTAACTAAATTTACAATAGTCATATGTACGAATACTTATGTGTTAAAATATGTATATTAATTAAGACTTATAAAAATATATATATATAATAAGAATAAGACATACGAACTAAATAAGGGAAATACCAAGTATACTATCAATGCAAAACCTACTTACTATAATAATGAGATTATTACTACTATAAAATTTCGAATGGCTGTTTGGGAGCATACTAAGGAAAGCTAGTAAATAATAGAATCAATGTAAAAGATCTACACCATCTTTAACATAATGGCCGAAGGGTTCAACGTAAGGTCTAATAATAATATACAACCTAGAATCTTCGGCGAGACAGCTACTCCCCTATAAATAGCAGCATACGGAGTACGACTTACATATAAAAAAAAGGAGCGAGCGAGAAAAATACTAACAGAGAGCGTGGAAGGGAAATATAGAAAGACCGGAGCCGGTGCCATCTCTTAGCACCATCTCCGTCGAAGGAAGGGCCCGCCGGAGCAGCACCCTTTTCGCCTCAAACAAAGAAACTGCCAACGCCGGAGGACAACAAGCAGTAGCGAGGCTAGTTGGAGAAAAGGGAGGAAGTCGGAGTTGTCGTCGCCGGAGCAAACCGCTGCCGCTGAGCGTCGCCATCTGCGTCTGGACCTTGCCACCGACAACCTACCACGTTGGGTTATCTCCTCCGGGCAACGTAAGTCCTATCTTCGCCGCATTTTCAGATTTCCAGTGAGGAATGAGATACGTAGTACGCATAGCTGGACTGATAAAATATATATATATATATGGGCTGGTTATTTTGAACCGTACTAGGCATTCCGTAATATAAAAAAAAGAGAGAAATCTCTGGCTACACTTATCAATTGGTAAAAACAAGACTTATGATGTTATGGAATAAAAATAATAGGCCGACCCTTTGAATGTTAAACTAGATTGGAATTGTTATAACTGTAATGATAATAAAACCAATCAATAATAATAATAATAATAATAATACTAATAATAATAATAATAATAATAATAAAAAAAAAAAAAAAAAAAAATAATAATAATAATAATAATAATAATAATAATAATAATAATAATAATAATAATAATAATAATAATAATAATAATACTGATATTGGTTAGTCAAACAGAATAATACGGATGAGTTGTTCACTTCGTCACTTTTAGTTTGATTGCCGGTGTAATCAAGTAGAAATTTTATTTTTACAGTTACACTTATACTACATATTTGTTAAAATAATTTGTTCTTTAATAATGGGAATTATAAACCGATTGGAACAATTTTATTGAATTAGCTAATGAGGAATTAGTAAAGCAAACCAGAAAGATAAAACTAAAATTTTGAAGAAAGGACCGATTAGACTAAAGTATAAAATTTGACTACATTTAGTTAAAGCTTGAATTGCCTGGATTGATTGAATTATTAGGATAAGATGATTTCATTTGTAGACATTTTATGTGAATGCGAATAATTGTAAGACTACCGTAATATAAACCGAATTATATAATTGACATACGATAAAGGTATAAGGTAAAACACTCATTTTTGTTTGAATAAATAAAATTATCAAACAATATAACTAAATCATATTAAACCCATGACTTTTTTTTACGTTAATGACAAATTGAAAAAAAGCAATAAAAAGAATAAGATTAAAATAATTGAATGAACATCATAGTGATTAAATTGATTAAACTAATCACGAAGTTGCTATCAACTACTCATATTCAACAAATACGAAAATATAGGAATAACGAATAAAGGGGTTTGGATTACAACTTGGGCAGTGATTGATATTGGATCTTTCTTTAATACAAGGTGATTTGGGTGAAAGCGCGTAGTTGGAGGATTACCTATAACATACTTGGAGTTGAGGTAAGTTCCATGTCAACCAAAATCTTATTTTACCTCATAAAGCTATATGTATGATTTGATGTGAAAATATTTGCTATTGAATGAAATTTGGTGATGTATGAATTTAAATACGAAGTTGGCCATGAGAAGTTTTAGAATAAGAAGGATCTTTTAGAATTGTCTTTATTGATTTTTTTTTTGGAAAAGGAAGATCGAAACTATTTTTTTTGTAATTGTGGGCATCACGGGAGAAATCCGTTGTGTCGGTCTCCTTCACGACCGTTAATTGTGAGGGGGTGGTTAGGGGCTACTACTACTTTTTGGTGGATTTTATATTATGTGGATTATTTGATTATTGATTATTGTCCGGTAGACATCCCGGCATCTTTGAGGACTTTAAAAGTCCTTTGATGGTCACAGTAGCTAGTTCCTAATAACTTAATTGGGAGTATATTCTTTCCTGAAGTAGCGAGTACGTACTACTGGGCTACTTGGGCGACTTACTACTCAAAGGGCTTGGAATCCCTTTAGGGGGTGTGCACACTTAAGGTAGTCGTTCAGTTTCCAATAGGTGGTCGGTGGGAGCCGGAATTCCGGGATGAGTCGTAAATAACAACGACTCATTGGGCTCGAGGAATCTTGAGTTTCGCTCACTTCTTAAAAGACACCTTAGCATTTTTTTTAAAACAAGTGAATGATTTCTACTGAAAGGCACACTATTCTCCAATTAGAAGTAAATGATATTTTCCAAAGTATTTTCCTCAAACTATATTATTTTACGGGGTTGGGTGGGGCTTACTTAGCATAAGCTAATTTTTGTCTTGTTTTTCTTCTTTTCCTTCTCTACAATTACAGATGACATTGTTGTGGATGATGTGCATGATTAGAGACTTGAGAGCGCCCATTAGAAGATACTATATATAGCAAGACTTACGTTATGAATTTATTTTTAAGAATATGCTTTAGACCACCTTTGTTACCCTTACTTCACACTCGTTAATTTTTACTAAGTACCTTGTTTTGTTTGCCTGTGCACTTAGCCATGTTTTTGCTAAGTGTGACGGTAACACTCTAAATTTCCGTTGTTAAAGACTTCCGCTGAAATTATTCTAATAAAGCTGTCATTTTAAAATAAAAATCCAAGTTATTTGGGTGGGAAATTTTGGGGTGTTACATTAATTTTCCTGGTACCCCTTACACTTGGATTGGGAAAAGGATGCATGGGCTTGTTCAAAAAAAGCTGGATAAGGTCATGGCTTCTACTGAATTTCATGACCTTAACTCAAACTTAAACCTTAAAAAAATTATCATAATCCCTTGCTTTTGGTAGAAAACAAAAATGCTATTTCTGGACCAAAGAACTATAAGTTTCAGCATATGTGGATCAATCACCAAACATTCCTTGAAACTGTCAAGGCTTCCTGGGACAAAACAAGTGATGGATATGGCATGTGGAAGTTTTCTGCTAAACTAAAACGCTTAAAAACTGACTTAAAGGATTGGAATCAAAACATTTTTGGAAATATTTTCAACAAATTGTCTGAAGCTGAAACTGAAATAGCAATTCTGGAAAAACAGCTCTCTGATTCCCTGTCTGAGAATGACCACCTCCTTCTCAAAGAGGCCTAGGCTAAATACATTCAATACTCAGCCCATTTAAACACCTACTATCGGCAAAAGGCTAAAATTAATTGGCTAAAAGAGGGATATGCAAATGCAAAATATTTTCATCTCTCGTTAAAGGCCAAACACAAAAAGCTTAATATCTCTAGAATTATGCTTGATAGTGGCACTTGGATTGATAGTGATGAGGATATTTGTAATTCTGCTGTTGCCTAGTAATCTAATTTGCTCAATGCTGATGATGAAACAAACTCCTAGACCCGAGATGTTACCTCCAGAGTATTACCAAGATTATCTCCGGGGAAGATAACCTCAACTTAATGAGGTCTATTTCTAAAGATGAGCTCAAAGAAGCTGTCTTTAGCCTCGAGGAAAACAATGCCCCTGGAATTGACGGTTTTGATGGTGTTTTTACCAATGTTGTGCGTGAGTTTTTCTGTGGGGTCCCCATCCCTAAAAGCATTGGTCATACTTTAATTGCCCTCATACCCAAAGAACGAAATGCCTACAAGTTTTCCAAATTTAGACCTATAAGTCTTAGTAATTTGATAAACAAGATCTTTACTAAAATCCTCACTAATAGGATGACCTATCTGCTTCCTAAAATCATCTCTGAGGAACAATCTGCTTTTCAAAAAGGCAAAGAGATCTCGGATAGTTTTCTTGTCCTTAGGGAATTGGTTAATTACATTAATAAAAAGACACGCGGGCATAATATCATTTTTAAATTTGACATGACTAAAGCCTTCGACCGCATCTCTTGGTCTTTTATTAATCATGTTCTCTTAAGCTTTGGGTTTCATCCTGCTTTTATTAAGCTCAATACTAATAACTTGCAAGCCACTTAGTGCTCTGTCCTGATTAATTGCGCTCCTAAAGGCTTTTTCAAGGCCTCTAGGGAGGTTAAACAGGGTGATCCCCTTTCCCCTATTTTATTTATTACTGTGACTGAAATTCTTGCTAGGAATCTTAAGCTGCTATACTCTTCTTCCGGGAAAGGTATGCCTTTTTATACTCTCTGTGATATGTCTTGTATTTCTCACCTTTCCTTTGCTGATGATTTGGTGGTTTTTTCCAACGTGGAAAAAAACACTAATGGCCCTGCATAAGACTATAACGGAGTACGAAAAGTACTCCGGCCAGCTTATTAATAAGCAAAAAAGTTTTTATCTTATTTCTAAGCATGATGTTCATAATAGCAACGTCGTGAACCATATTTTCCAAATCACCAAGGGTTATTTCCCTTTTACCTATTTGGGAGCCAACATACACACTGGTCGTACCCTTAATGCACACTTTGACCACATCCTGACCAATTTCGATAATAAACTTGCGGGTTGGAAGCACAGGATCCTCTCGTCTGGGGGGAGGATGATCTTGATTAATCATGTTCTTAATTCTCTACCCCTTTATCATATGACTGTTTCCCCTATCACTACTGTTGTGCGCAATATGGAACGTAAACTAGCTAATTTCCTTTGGGACAATAAAATTGATCATAAGAGGCCCATTTGGCGAAAGTGGGCCAGAATTTGCTACCCTGATTCTGAAAACGGGCTTGGTTTTAGGAGCCTCATCCATATTCAGAGAACTTTTTTTATGAAAATTTTATGGAAGCGTAATAACGGTAAAGGGATTTGGGCTAGCTGGGTTAACTTTATTAAAGATACTACTCGCTCTATCATGAATAATTCTCTTGCTTTTGTTCGGCAAACTTTTGATAATAATTGTTGTATACAGGTTAACAATGGTAATAGTTCCTTTTGGTACTCTAATTGGAGCAATCTTGGCCCGCTTTATTACTACTGGGGGGATATCCCGCTCACTGACCCTAATTTGGCCATCAAGGAGGCTATGCCTGGTACTTTCTTCATCCCTTCTGTTCAAAGCAGTCTGCCCCATTACATTGTTGACACTATACATGCGATGAAAATCCAGTACGGTGAAAACAATGATACCATTATTTGGCAACCCAACACAAATGGAAAATTTAGTTTTAATAGTGCCTATGATGTCCTTAGACCCAAAAATGATTTGATTGATGATGCCAAGTTCTTATGGAATAACCGGACCCAAAAAAAATATCTTTCTTCTTATGGAGACTAAAAAATGGTCTTTTGTCTTTGGTGCCACTCTTAATCTTTTTGGCATTAATGGACCCTTCAAATGCCCCTTTTGCAACAATGACGATACTACTGACCATTTTTTTCTAAACTGTTGGTCTGCAAAAGGTATTTGGCAACATTTTGAAAATATTTTGGATTTCAAGCACACTAATTCTGGAACCTTAAATAGTTACATCAATACTTGGTACATTGACTACTGTGGCACTATTTTTGATTTCAATTATATTATTCCAAACATAATAACTTGGCATCTTTGGAAAGCCAGAAACAAGTTCCTTTTCGAGAATAAATTGGCTCATAAGCTTGAGGCAATAAGTGCTATTAAACATGATATTTTTTTCATTTCGGTTGCCAAACCCTTCATTTCCAGGACTTCCAATGCCCCGTTTAACATCCACACCACCCCTCACAAAAAAAGTAGCCACATAGCCTCCTTGAGTACTTGGATCAAACCTATGCCCAACACCTATAAAGTAAACTTAGCTACCCGTGCTCTCACACCAAACGTCACTCGTTCGGCTGCCATCATTCGAAATAGCGATGGGAGCTATATAGGCCATGCAACACACCTGGCTACTCACAACCAAACAACCGCAGCGGCCTATGAGGCCCTCGACTACATCATCCCCCTTCTTAACCAATTGGTGCCTACTAATATTATCCTTGAGGTGGATGATAAAGACATTTACGCAGGTATTGCTGGTCTCTCGATCCAACATTGGAAATATTGGCCAAAGATTCACAAAATCAGGAAAAAACTCAGGATCAACACTTGGACGATCAGCCTCACTCATCCTAAAGTTAATGGAGAAGCAGTGTTCTTTGCTTATCATAGTATGTCAATCAAAACCAATAGTCATCATTTCAACCAATTTGTTGGTATTCTTAAGTTCGATGTTGTTAGTTTCCCTTATGTTCTGTAATCTTTTTCTCTCCAGAGTAGGCTTTGGTTCGGCCCTCCTACTCGTGTAACTTTTTACTATTACAATAAATAAATAGGTGAGGTGTTTCCTGGCCCTCACCCCAAAAACTCTCGAGTTTTTGGTTCAAACCGAAAAAAAAACCTAAATTAGGATATCATTTAGGATACTAATTTAAAATTTCTCAAATAGGAATATTTTTTCAAGGTTGGACAAGGATATCCATATCCCACGGAGATTGAGACCAGCCACCACACCACCGCTGGTAGCTGAAATCTATCACCACCGAAAATCTTCAGGATTCATTTGTTACTAGCCTGACGTTGCCACCATAATCATCTGATTACTGCGCCATGAACGGACACTACAAAAAATAATGTGTCATCACGGGCTTTTGTCACCGATTCGGTCGGTGACAAGTTTGTCATGGATTTTGTCACGGATATATATCCTAGCTCACGAAAAACTTGTCACGAAACAAATCCGTGACAATTGTTTGTCACAGATTTCTTGTTGTGATAATTGTTTGTCACGCATGTGACGTCATGGAAAAAATCTGTGACAAAGTGTGTGACAAACTTTTTTGTCATGGATTTTTTATATTATAGTCCGTGACAAAATCCTTGACAAAATCATTGTTTATTTGTAGAGGAATTGACCAAGTGAACTAGGCGTCAATAAATTATTATGATTATTAATTAGATTAGCGATATTATGGGTAAAAATTAATGTTTAATCCAATTTAGGAAAAATTTACTCCTATTTAGGAAAAAGAGTGTGTGTTTTAATCTAAGGAAATAATTACCTTATTCTATTTTAAATTTTACGAGATTATAAAGCTTTGTATGTTTAAGTTTTAAATAGTAAAACTAATTTTGCGAGTAATAGTTTGATAATCAATTAATAGGATTGGTAAATGAACCTCAAGGAAAAGATTCAAAAGAATGTGTCACATCTATGTACTTTGTGTATACTCCGTACTCCCTTCCTCACATTTAAATCTTTACACTTTCCTTTTTAGGACGTCTCATTTACTATTTTGCAATTCCTTTTTAGACAACTCTTTTTACATTAAATGTCTTAACTATCTTTTATTACTCATCCACTTTTTACATTTGAGTGGATAGCGTTAATTCCCCCCAAAGTCAAAGGGCATATAAGACATTTGATCTTTTATTAATTGAGCTCCTAAAATATCGTGTCAAAAGCAACGACAAGTTCTATCCGGGACGGGGGAGTAATTAGCCTTCCGCTAATAAATTCGTATTTGAATACACTTTATAAGATCTACCTACGGAGTATTTAAAAAAAAGGTAGGACCTTGAATTGACATGAGCACTGGTGGGTAAAAATTTCCCCCCATTGTTCCAAAAGGTGGAATCTTCCACCCCAGGAGCCCTGCACACGGATACACCTCTAATGAAAAGAGAGAAAATTGGGTAAAAACTTTAAGATGTGTCGGAAACGTGAAATATGATCAAAAGTGAAGAAAATGAAATTACACTTCAAGGGGTGGGGGGGGGGGGGGGGGGGGGGGGGACGGCACTTCCAGGTCAACCATCGAAGCTAAAAGCACTTGAAACTTGAAAACGTGAAATATGATCAAAACTTGTGATTTGAGAACCAACCAACGCTAAAATCGGACCAAATCGGCGCAAATCGTCTCACTGGGCTCAACCAGCGCTAGACCTAGGTCGAACCGGCACAACTCGATCATGTGGAAAACATGAGGAAATTGGGTCAAAGCCCATGCCGGATACGCTTAACTAGCACCGGAGATTGGAAATTTGTAGAAGATGATTAGAAATGAAGATATTTAATTTGGAGGAGATGACCAGAAATTTCGCCCCAATCTGATTTAGGGTCATGAATAGACCATCAAATATCATTTATTAGTTCATTTAAACCCATCAATCCATGCCAAGTGATTTATTCATTTTTATTTTAATTCATAGTTTTTATATGGTTATTTATACTCTTTTCTTGGAATTCTTGTAGAGGGAAGATCATTTTTCATAAACATTGATGCTTAAGTATTAGGGAAAACCGCACATTTGACCCCCCAATTATCCATCATATTGAAATCCCAAACCCGTGTTTCAGGTTTTCTAAATTTCACCCCGGATTTTTCCGAATAATTATAAATGTCACCCCTGCCGTTATAAATATTGTAAACTCCGTCTGTTTTTCATTTTTTTCAGGGTTAAAATTGTCATTTCCAGCAGTACCTTCGAATCAACACCACCCACCCCAACCCTGACTACCCCTGCGCTATCAAGTTCCTCACCACCTTGGCCGGCTCCATCCCCGGCCTCCGATCCCGGCTTTTGTATTTCACTTCCCCACCCCCAAACAAACCCCTACTTCTACTCACCTGGCCCGTCTCCAACCCTTCACTTCCCTTCATCCTCTTCAATTCGCATCTTGACTCTGTCCCCGCTGAGCCCACCAAGTTGTCCCACCTGCCCTTCTCCGCCCACCGCTCCTCTGACGGAAAAATCTTCGCTCACGGAGCCCAGGACGACAAGTGCATCGTCATCCAGTACTTGGAAGCTATCAGGGCCATCCAAATCAGCTCTCCGGGCTTCACACCACTCCGGAATGTCCACATCTCTTTCGGAGAAGGGGGTCGGTCAGAGAAGGGGGTCAGTCGGAGAAGGGGGTCGGTCGGCGCAAAGAAGTCGGTCGGAGAAGGGAGATAAAGGGTTGGGGATAAAGGATTGGGAAATGACAATTTTAACCCTGAAAAAAATTAAAAACAGACGGAGTTTGTAATATTTGTAACGGCAGGGGTGACATTTATAATTATTCGGACAACTCGGGGGTGACATTTAGAAAACCTGAAACACGGGTTTGGGATTTCAATAAGGTGGATAATTGGGGGGTCAAATGTGCGCTTTTCCCTTAAGTATTATTTCCTTTACATTTTCATATGTCATTCTATTTAGGGAAAATCACATTTTTAGTCCCTGAATTAGTCACTATATTGAAATGTCAGACCTATGTTCCTCAGTTTGTAAATGTCACCCCTCAATTGTCTAAATTGATGTAAATGTGGTCCTTAGAGGGGTGAAATGTACAATGTGGGCGAGGAGTACATTTCACCCCTCAAAGGACCACATTTACAACAATTTGGAAAATTGAGGGGTGACATTTACAATTTCACAAATACGGATCTGACATTTCAATATGGTGACTATTTCAGGGACTAAAAGTGCGATTTTCCCTTCTATTTAACTATTGTGTTGTAATTTGTATGAGAATTGGAGTTTAATTTTGGGAAAACTATCAAATAAGCTCCCGTACTATACCAGAAAAGCCGATTAGGCTCTCGTACTTTACAAACACTCAATTAAGTCCTCGAACTATTAAAAACGTTCAATTAAGCCCTTTTGGTGGGTAAGTAACTGATTTCCCGGTTAAACGACGACGATGGAGACGATGTGCTCGAACCCCAGCAACTGCGGCTTCTAGGAAACTGGTTACATTTAACCGGAAAACCGGTTACTTACCGACCGAAAAGGCTTAATTGAACGTTTTTTAATAGTTCGAGGACTTAATTGAGTGTTTGTAAAGTACGAGGGCCTAATCGACTTTTTCGGTATAGTGCAAGGGCTTATTTGATAGTTTTCCCTTTAATTTTTTAGCTAAGACTAGGGATCGATAAACCTCTATAGTCACTAGGTGTTTGATAAAAGTTTTGAAATAAAATCAAATGTTTCCAGGGACGGAGGTATGGAAAAACACTGTGTTTTTATGTATATTTTGGCGCAATATTTTCAATAATTTATTTAACTTATTTTCCGATTAAATTTTAAACTGAAATTTGGTGTAAGTGGACCAAACATTATGAAGAATACTCTCACAAAATTTCATCAAAATAATATGCCCTAAAGTATCTCAAACATAGGCAGTCGGGCTGCGGATCTTGTCAGGTAGTTGTGATAGGATCATCCTCATGATTAAATTACACACACACATATGACTAAAAATAGGAAAAAATGTGTTTTATTCCTCAAATAGATCTTATTCAGTCCTATTAAAAATGATTTGATTAAAGTTTCCACAAATAGGAGTGAAAATTCCTGTTTTAAGAATAAAACGTGGGTTTTTTACAAAAATATTTCTATGTATTAAAATAAAACTTATTTACACAAATATGACTAATAGTTGCTACAATGTAGTGTCATGGTAACTGTTAGTCCCTGTTTTCTATAACAACAGTATAATATGGCATACAGATGAAAGATTAACAACAAAGATGAACACAGAAAGATCAAGTGTAAACCTTCTCTGATATACCGTGAATCTTTCGTACAAGAATGATAAGCGATAAGGCTATTTTGAGCAGATACGAAAAATTAACCGCAAACCTGAGTCCTCCGCCCCTTTTTATAGGCGAGGCTCAGGTATGCGTAAAAAGGCTTCTCGCCTAAGTATGGGCCTAACACTTGGCCCATATTAACTACTATTCTAACATATATATTTAATCAGTGCTGAACAGAAATAGTAAACATCTAAATTATTACAGACAAAACAGACAAACTTGATTCACAATAAAATAGTCTTCAACAATCTCCCCCTTTGTGATCAAGTGCCGTCTTGCATTTATTTTTGAGATCTGAAGTAATGCTTTCTGAAGTTTAGCGCATGCTCATACTGTCTCAGCATTCTTCTCTTTTCAAGTTGCTCGTTGATGGGCTTTAGGATGGTCCACACCTTCTCGTATACTAGGAGCTCTTCCTCGCTGGCGTCCGCAAGTCTTGGATCTATATTCTCTTTGATCTCTTGCAGCTTGGTCTGGATGATCTTCAGAGTCTCATCACAGTATTTGTGAATGTCTTCTACCCACATGAGTCTATTCTGTTCCTCGTGATTGAGATATATGATAGAGACTGGGTCCTTGAAGATATGATATGGTCTGTACTTTTTGAGCTCTGGACCGTTCAGAGTTGGCTTTACCAGATTTGCTTTTCGGACATTGTTTTCCAGGGCCATCTGTAGATCATGGGCAGCATAGAATATGATCTGTCTCAGCATAAACCGTTTAATTGCCTCATAACCTTCTTCATGTGTCCTGTTTCGACTCAGTGAGAGATACCTACTTACCATGAACATTTGGTAGATATCCTCCATCTT